AAATGGGTAATGTTTCAGATTATGTCATGTGCACTGTAGCAGAGTGATTACATATCATACAGAGAAATCACAAACTGTGATTATTTTAGATTTGATATTAATTTCAACCCAGTTCCAGAGTTGCTCCTTTGATCTAGCACATATATAAAATAATAAAAGATGTTTTCTTTGAAATAAATTTTAACTTGCCTTGTGTACATTTCATGAGTATTATCCTGGTCTCTTTCACATCTTTGCACTAGAAGATTATCAGGACAAATTCTGTCTTCTGTTCATTAAGCCATTCTCAGATTTTCTTGAGGGAACCATCTGAAAGATACCCCTTCAGTAATTCTTTTCACTGAGCCAAACTGTAATTCCCTGTAAGCTCTTCATCTGCCATGGTCAGGTAAGAGGAGTGTCTTTGATCATTCCTACTCTGTATGGGGAGGGAGGGGGAAGGGACACATGACAAGTTGTGATGCCCTGACTGACTGTTCACAGTCAAGACTAGTTTTGGGATGCCCTCTGTGTATGAGATGCTTTCAGTCGTGACCTGACCTGAGCAGTTGTTTGTAGTGACTACGTCTACTGAGTGGGGAAGCCACAGGCTAGATGCCACCAACTTTATCTGCTGTTGCAGATGAAAAACAAGCCTAAGGGCATATGGAAAGCCATCCTTACTGCTTGAAGCTTGCTTGGCTCTGTGTTAAACCCTTTGTGATCATAAAAGAAATCCAGCTTGTTTGGCAAGAGCCATGCCCTGGTACCTTTTGAAAAAGGTAAGTGGACTTAGAGAGACACATACTAAGTAGCAAACTTTCAGATTAGAGCCAAAAGCTTACACTGATTTCAGCAGCTGGAAAATTAAAGATCCTACTAGGTGAAAACCATCAGCTCTAATGATCTAGAAACAGCCAGTTCACTTCCATTATTCTTATAGGATAGTCCATCAGAAGGTTTTCCATATACAAAGTTCACAGCTCACAGGAGGCACATTAGACAGCAAAACAAGCATTCAGAGTCCTCAGAACCTTATGTTGGAAGGAATTGATAAAGCAGGAAAAGCA